TGCAGTACATTCCCACAATGGAATACCAAGCAGTCACAGAGAGAAATGAAGATGCCAACATGCTGATGTGAAGTGATATACATTTGAAGAGTAAAAACAAAATAGGTGTACAGAAATATGCAGAATATGCTGAATTTTTTTTCATAAGAAAGAGGATACCAATATATATTGATTTATATTTTTTAAAAGAAACTTGGAAGAATAAATAAAAAATTTTTTAAACAATGATTTTTTATTGGGAACATAATGGTAGATATAGAGAAGAAAGCTAAACTTCTCTGCCTGCTCCTTTTTTATTTTGTTTTGTTTTTTAATTTGTTTCTACTTTGAAAGTGTTGTGGAATAAAAGGGTTTTGAGCACCATGTCAGCCAAATGTACCAAATGAACCTTGATTCCAAACACCACAACTTGCAAAAAGGCATATTTGAGACATTCAGAGAAATTTGAGTACAGAATAATTATTAGATGATATTAAGGAATTATTATTATTATTAACATGATATTAAGGAATTATTATTATGTTATGTGACGATCTTAATCACAAGGTTGTATTTTTTTTTAAAGCCTTAATTACTAGAGATAAACCAAAGTACTTATGAGTAAAATAATATTATATCTTGGATTTTTTAATACTGCAGGAGGGGGTAAAAAATGAGGAGGGGGATAGATATATCAAAATCCTTTAAATTGTACATACATTTTGACCTATCAATTATAAATTGTAGAATTTATTTTAAACATATAACTTTGAAGGTGTATAAAGATTTAGCTAAAAAAATGCTTTATTTAATATTTAGGAGTAAAAAACTGGAAACACCTTGTGTTTAAATAATTTAGTTAGTTAAATAAAATAATGCAGTATAGGCTTTAAAGTTATGTTGAAAATGATTTTTCAGAAATTGAGTGGAAAAGTGTTCACATTATTGCTAATGAAGAAAGTAATTCATAAAATCATAATATCTAGGTTTTATTAAGAAAAAATAGTGAAATATATTAAAATGTTTTAAAAGTGTTTATAACGATTATCTTTGGGAGGTTAGAATTCAGTTAACTTTTATTTAAAAATATTTGTGGTTTATCTTTATCTTTTAAAGTACCTACAATAAACATATATTATCTTTACAAAACAATAGCTATTAAAGTAAAAGGCAACTCTCACAAGGCAATTAATCAATTTCAAAAAAAAAAACTGAAGGCACATTGAAAAAGAATGAATGGAAAAATTGAGATATTTGTGATGTAAAATGTCTTTTAAGAAATAAAGAACAACTACTGCACTGTAAGTTGTAAACATCTTTTATCATGAGTGATGTGAAATCCTTTATTCCACAAAAAATGATTTCTCAGTGAAATTTCTGATACATTCAATTTAGTCCCGTAGGAGAGTAAATAATATTTCATTTTGCTTGATACACAGAACCAAGCACAGTATTATTGTGAAGTTTATGTAAAGGGTAGAATATTTTTGAAGGATCTGTCAATCTAATTTCTCTTATTCATAAACTAGATTTCATCTTGGTACCAGCGCAATGGCTTCAAGAAAGGGTACAGGCCAAATGCCACGTTGGCAAGGAGGACGTTATGATACCTGGGAGAGGAGCTTTCCAGGCAGGAAGAATCTGGAATTATGCCCTTTTTCCTCCAAGGAAAGAGAAACAAGAAATGGAATTAGACAAGAAAACTAATTCGTTTCCACCCTCTTTCTCAGAGGTTAACCCTTACTGCTGGAAAGCATATTTGATTGTTCAGAAAAAGTTGAAAGACTAGCTTTTGCCCTATTGCCTATTAAGAACTATGAGGAAAAAAATGATGACTGCAGGACAATAAAAATAGTGCCATAGTGTGGTTAGGCAGTGACACCTGCTTTGCCTTTTTCCTTCCTATCCCCTCCTATTCCCACCCCAGGTAGCCTCAGGTGCAATGTGGCCTATAGAGGACCCCAGCATTCCCATCGGCCCCTCAGAGACGTCAAGGTGCTTGAGATTTCTGGAGGAATAGTTTGCCAGAGGAAACCTCCTGAGAGATGGTGAAGCAGTAAGGGCTGTATGCTGTGCTATTGAAAGAGTTGAAAGAGACAAAGCTAGTCTCCAGGAGAGAGCCAGACTACCAGTGAGTATCAAGATGTAGGGAAGATAGCCAGGAGAGGTTTTGACAAGTTTCACAAGCCTTGGACCCTAGAAAGAAGCTGACTACTGTGCCTTGGTGGAAAATGGCACAAACCCAAGGACTATCTGCACACTGTGATTGAGACCAGCAAAAGGATCAGCACAAAGTTAGGGCCCCAAATGCCAAATGCCCCAAGATAAGGTTTTCCCTCTACAAAGGCACCATCTTGGTAAGGAAGTAATAGTACTTTAGGGAGTTAAATTCAGCAATGAATAAATAAATATTTGACAAAATGAGACTGACTTCCATGAGAATATCTAGGATATCATTAATTATCAAATTAATGGTTTTCCATGGATACCAAAATGGATGAGAACTTGTAAGAAAGATTACATTAATACAGGAAATAAAAATACAGCTTTTTCTTTGCACATTTGAGTGTTGATTGAATAATTTTATTTGTAGTTATAGTTAATTAGTTTTAATTTTAGATCATTAATTTTAGCTTTGCAAAAAACGATTCCAAGATTCATAGATATTTTTTAAAGAGTAAGTAATTATATAACGAAATCATTGAGACACTCAAATGTTGGGAATTTTCTGGGAAAGCTATAAATATTTCCTTTCTGTCAATCCCTTGGTCTTTCTTTTCCTGATTAAAACAATTAAAATGTTTAAAATGTCATACTATATTTTTTCTACAAATCTTGATTAAATCTGCTCTCACTATAGTGAGTCTGAGTGATTTTTATCTATTGGTATGTAATAAAATCTTTTAGATAAAATATAAAGTTGTAACTCTCCATTCTCTTTCCCCTTTATGCGTTTATTTTTTTCTCTAACTTGAAGCATCCAACTAAAAAATAGTGTAATACATTACACTTATTCACAGTTCTCTTACTCTTTCTCAATAAGATGGACTATATGTTTTTGCCAGGACTGCTTATAGGATAGTCTGAGATTTTTTTCACATATACATCACTGACAATTCTCATATACAAGAAAGATAGGCAAATGTTGCTTTTATTTCATATATAGAAAAGAAATAACAGGAGTGTAGATTTTAAATAATTGTCTTTAAGCTTTATTGTGTGTTAGAATTGAAAGTAGAGTGTAAGGTTTACACAAAGAAATGGTTTTGTGTGTTTAAAATCAAACTTTGACTTCTATCTACATGAATCTTATTTGATAATGATAGTGCTGTTGAATTATTTTACTTCCTTAGATGATACATGTTAGAGTGTTAAACAGTTTACTAGGTCATGCTGGTTATTGCAAAGAAATTTGTTAATTACAAGATATCTGCCCCCAATTTACCTGCTTCTTGGATAAAGTTATTTTAAAATATTTAGCATTTTAGAAGGTGTGAATATACTCTATGTAAAGTATATCTCTCCTACTGAAAGTTTTTTTGGGGGGAGTGGAACATGTTATTATAAATTATGTAGAAATATTCAGGGAATGAAGGAGTTTTTTGAAAAAAAAAACTAAAAACGAAAATCTCGAGCTCTAGATATGCTGCAAATTACTTGGAATGATCCACAAATTATCTGCTACCTCTTTTTAGAGATCAACATTATATGATGAAATATAATTGGTTTGAATAAATGAAGTTGGAATCTTTTTTCTTCAATGTGAAGCTGACTTATATTTGAGAGATGTTTTTTGAACATTGCAGACTTTTAAGTCTGCCAAAGTGAACATTTTTGGAATAACATTAAATATTCCTGGCTAGACTTGAACAACAACAACAACAACACACGTAACTGAGCAAGAGAGTCCATTCTCTTGAAATTATTTCGGTTACTAAGACTTAGACTCAGATATTTATTAAGAGCTAGAAAAAATCAGTCTCCAAAGAGCATTTTATAATTTTTTTTTTAAAGGATTGTTGTAGAAGGATATACCATGAGTAACAGTTTATTTGGGGGATAGGGGTTCAGGAAGAAGATTTAAGTCCCTTGAGCTGTTATACCTATTCCATAAATCCACTGGACCTCTGATAGATAATACTTAATTCTGTTTCCTTAGTCATTCAACTCATCTGCTCTGAACAAATTTAGCGGACGCCTTCAGGGTGTCAGGTACTCGCTGAGTGCTGGGCAACACTGACATGATTCCTGCTTTCATGGAGTTTTAAATCTAGTGGGGGTGATTTGATAATCTAATACTCATACAAACACATAGTTGCAAAGTGTCAAAGAGAAGTTGCAGTGTTTGGGAGCAGGAGTGGGTATGAAGCCCACCCCGAGGAAACGGGACTCGACGGAACAGCAGTAATTAATGATATATAGAGAGAAGAGGGGTGTTGATGTGTCCTTTGGAGGATTACTTACTAAGACAAAGACCTAAAAACTGAGATTTGGGAAAACTTCAAGGTCCTTGGAAAGTTTTGCAAGATAAGGTTGGGGAAATAAGTGAGGAGCCCAGTCTTGCAGGAGTCTTACAGGATGGGTTCAGTATTTCGATTTTTATCCTAAAACATCGTCTACAAATAGGTGATCTAGTTATATGATTGGCAGACACGTTTCTACGTTTCTGCTTGCCCTTTCTGACCAGCAGGGATTTTTTTTTTTAATTTGAATCATTTAGTTGGGGCACACTTTTTTGGATTAGTCAGAACCCGTTTGCCTATCCTTGTTGGCCTCACACACGTACACTTTTTTGAACCCTGAGGAAAGGGAGTTTGCAGCCTTTCCTCGAGGATTATTAGATTTTGTGCTTAAAATAGCATTAAACGTAGCCGCACAACTAACCAGAGAGCAACCAGCAAACCAGCAGAAAACTGTGCAGGTGGAGTCTGCTCAAGGGAAGGCGGGGTAAGGGGAGGAGCGCTGCGTTGCGACCCACTGCGCATGACCGTTCTCCGTTGCCAAGGCAGCGGGAAGGCGGCACCCGGAAGAGGAGCCAGAACGAGCTGCGGGCGCCAGGAGAGGATCATTATTACTTGCGGGCGCAGGCCCGACTAGTTTCTGAGCCACTCTTGACCAAGGCAAAGAAGATGAGAAGCAGAGTCTGATGCAATGTGATGGCCATCTGCCTAGAAGCTGGGGATTCAGAAGAACAAAGGGAATTGGCCCAAACGGACCAATGGTAGACCTTTCTAACGACACCTTCACGTCCTTTACTGATGAGGTACAGAGTTCCGGTTCTTTCAGCTCCTTTGGAGGACTGCAGCCCTGGTCCCATGACTCTGGGAGCGAACCCGAGAGTAGAAAGCTGTCTACACGCTTGGAATATCAAGATAAACAATCTGAGCTTTCAGCAAAGAAGTTTAGTTGGAAATGGATCAACTACCTTAAGGGCAAAACAACTAACTCTGGAGGGTACCAACCAGACACTAAACTTCAAACAGAAATCACTCCCTTCTCAGATGAAGAATTGCATGCCCTGCAGTCTTTTTGCACTGTTAAGATAAACCTGATCCATCATAGAGCAAACTCTAAGGAGAAAAAGAGCAGCAGGCTTAAAAAGCTGCAGCTTAGATTGGATGCAGAGGCTTCAGAGATAGATGCTTTAAACTGCACGGTCCCCGATGAGCTTTTGAACAGAATCTATTTTAAAAACATGAGGACAATACCAAAGCAGGTGACAACAGCTAAGCAACACATTTCTTCTCGGTGTCATGATTGTAACAGAAAAAGAGCAGAACTGGCTCAGTCTGCCTTCCTGAAACAAAAGAAGACTTTACTGGAGTCATTTTTACTAAAAGCAAAGATAGATGAACATCTTCATACTAAAGACTTTCTCACCTTTATTGGAGAAGCACATCAGGGCCTTCCTAGGCTTTCTGATGACCCCAGAATAATCTGGAAAAGACTGAATGAGAAAAGTCAGATCAGATACTCTGGTTTTGAAAGGTCAGATACAGAACAGAAAATGTAGAAGAATGGAAATAGTGCTTGTCATTTACCTTTTGCTCTACTACTTCCCAAACCACTTACTCTAACCAAACAGGAGATGCTATTTATTAATGATAATGTGTAATGTGTATAGACGTTTCTTTTGTGTATTTGAATAATTATCATCATTTTTAAGGCACTTTGAAAACTAAAACTTTACTATGCTTCCTTTACAGATGTGAGGATTAAAAACTTCAATACATTTTTAAAAAATAAATGGCAATGTCGTAGTTGGAATATTTACAAAAATTTTTATAACAATCCAGAGAAATGCTGGTAGTTTGTAGAAGTACAGAAATGTAAGAGATACTTGAGGTAATAATGGCAATCTTGGTGAAGAAATGGATATGGGGATTTAATAAAAGGTAGATGTTAAGAATGTTACTAAGTTTCTGATTTGTGCACTTGAGTGAATAATAATTTCAAAATTATGTATAGAAACATTGGAAGAGGATAATGTCTGAGGGGAGTGATTAAGGGTATGATTATTTGGACATGGTTAATTTGAGATATATTTGAGACATCCACATTAAGAGGTTGAGAAACATTTGGTTATTTGTGCTTGCAGTCTGGAGAAAAGGTCTAGCCTACATATTTGAAATAAAGGGATGGGAGGTGCAGATTATTGTCATATTATTGGAAATTTAAGTCATAGATGTGGTGAACTCTCTAGAAGAGAATAGGGTGTGGAGAAAAGGGCTATGACTAACTCCTGAGAGATTCAACAATTCCTGGCTGGATAGAGGAGAAAAAGCCAGCAAAGGAGGTTGAGAAGAAATTGTCATAAACGATTAAGGACGCTGGAATGTGTAGTGTTGTAGAGAACAAAGAAAAAATATTTCAAAAGAGATGGGTTGTCTAAGTATGCAAATGCAAGAGAGTTCATGTGAGATAATTTAGTCATGTGTTGGGCTCTTTTGACCTTAGTAACATTCAAATATTACTTTTTCCTATAAAGTTAGCATATTTCCTTTTAGTAAGTCATTCCTAAATAAGATGAAAATCAAATCATTACCATTTTCATAATAACTTTTTTATTTGAAAGCCACATTATGTCATACTTTATCTTGGGCATCTTAACATATTCACATTTCACATATTTGAAATTCTGAATAACTTCCCATTTAGAATTCTCCAATTTAAGGTCATAATCCACCCTGTTAGTCAACTAGGCTAGAAAATCAGAGTCATCTTTTGTTCTTTTTTATTTAAAAAAAACAAAAACTCAATCCCAACCTAACTATTTTTCAGCAAGACCATTAGATCTTTCAGTAGCTTCTGACCATGACTTATTTCCATCTCATTATCACCTCTTTCATCATCTCAGCCCTCCCACTCCTAGTTTCTCTCCTCAGTGCATTCTCTATATAGTTGTCAGAATCATTTTTCTAACATACAAATCTGTTCAAGTGATTCTCTTGATTTAAAAAAAAAAACCTAAATGATTTATCAGTGCCATAGAAATAATTCAGTTTATGTAAGTCCACATAGAGGTTCTTTAATGTCTGACCTAAATTTACCTACTAACCTCATCTACTTCCCCTCTCTATATTTAAGACACTCTACAAGACCTGTAACTCCCTGAGCTCACTATGGTTTACAAATACACATTTGTTTTGCTAAACTTCTCTTAATTGCCTTTCCAGCTGGTGTATTTTTCTTCCCTTCCTTCTGCTCCCCGCCTCCTTATTTAGTTTTAAACTTTACCAATCTCCTCATATTTTTGTCAATATTTGTTATTTTCTATTTTCAAAAATTATAACCATCCTTGTAAGTATGAAGAAGTATCTCATTTTACTTTCGATTCGCATTTCCCTAATGACTAATAATATTCTGCATCTTTTCATGTGTGTATTCGCCATTTGTGTATCTTCTTTGGAGAAATGTCTATTCAAGTCCTTTGCCCATTTTTAAAATTGGGTTGTTTGTCTATTTTGTTGAGTTGTGTGCATTCTTTATATTCTGGATATGAAACGTTTATCAGATATAGGAGTTGCAAATATGTTCTCCGATTCTGTGAATTGCCTTTTCAGTTTCTTGATAGCGTCTGTTAGTGAACAAGATATCTTAATAAAGTCGAATTTGTCTACTTTTTCCTTTCATCCTCTATGCGTTTGTTGTCAAATTTAAGAATTATTGCCGAATTCAAGGCAGATTTGTCCTTCTGTTTTCTTCTAAGAGTTCTATAGTCTTAAATCTTGTGTTTAAGTCTTTAATCCATTTTGAGTTAATATTTTGCTTATGATGTGAGAAAAGATTTCAATCTCTTCATGTAGATATCCAGTTTTTCTAGCACTATTGTTGAAGAGACTTTCCCCATTATGCTTTCCCCACTGAATGATTTAGGCTCCCTTTTTGAAAATTAGTTCACCATAAATGTGAAGGTTTATTTCTAGATTCTAGATTCTGTTTTATCAATCTATATGTCTATTCTAATGCCAGTACCACACTGTTTTGATTACTGTGCTTTGTAGTTAGTTTTGAAATCAGTGGGTATTAAATCTTCATCTCTGTTCTTCTTTTTTAAAGATTGTTTTTGGCTATCCAGGATGCCTTGAGATTTCATATGAATATTAGGATGGGTTTTTCTGTTTCTGCAAAAAATGCCATTGAAATTTTGATAGCAATTACATTGAATCTGTATATTGCTTTGATCAGTATTGTCATCTTAACAATATTAAGTGTTCCAGTCCATGCATAAGGGATATCTTCTCATTTTTTTTAGGTTTTTAATTTCTTTCAGCAAGGTTTTATATTTTTCAGTGCATATGATGTATTTTTTATTCCTAAGTAACTTATTACTTTGTTTGCTATTGTAAATATATATATTTTTCCAAATCCAATTTCTTTTTGGATGTTTACTGCTAGTACATAGAACTACAACTGATTTTTGTATGTTGATTTTGTATTCTAAAACTTTGCTGAATATATTTATTTGCTCTAACAGTTTTAAAAAATGGATCTAGCTATACAATTATGTCATCTGCAAACATATGATTTTATTTTTTCCTTCTAATTTGAATACTTTTTTTTTTTTACTTACCGAATTGCCCTGGTTCTAACTTCCAGTACTCTAATGACCAGAACTGGCAAACGCAAGCCTCTTTATCTTATTCCAGACCTTAGAGGAAGAGCTTTCGATCTTTCACCATTTTAGTATGGTATTAATTGTGGGTTTTTTATGTATGATCTTTTTCATGTTAAGGAAGGAAGTTCCCTTCTATTCTTAGTTTATTGAATGCTTTTTATCATAAAAGGCTGTTGGATTTTGTCAAAAGTTGTTTTCTTTTTTAAAATTCTAATCAGTTAAGATGATCCTGTGGTTTAGTATCCTTTAATCCAGCCTAAAACCGTATCTTCTTTGCACTCATCCCAGAACCCTTACTGACTAATCAGAATTAAGGTCTGTAGCCTATATGCTCCTCGTATGAATATAAATTAATATAAATTCATATTATCACTTATATCTTAATATGCTTTTCTTGCTTACTTTTCTTACTTGATTGTGAGTAGAGACTTTATCTTATATCATATCTACACTGCTTAGCACAGTGCCTCACACATCCTGGTGTGTAACAAAAATTTTATGGATGAAAAAAATAAGTGCATCCAAACAATTAGATTTGTACCTAAAGAAGAAAATGATCTGCCAGCACACTCTTTTTCTGTCAATGTTTTGCCTTTGTATAGTTTTCTGTAATTTTTCTCTTTCTCTCTCCATGGGTTGGATTCCCTTTTTCATGTATATACATGAAACAAATTAGTGGAAAGCTTTCTTAGTAACAAATTAGTGGAAAGCTTTTTAATAAGATATCTTTTCAGGAAGCATGCAACCAATTAATACAGTATTCATTTAAAATATTAATATAAAAATATTTCTCTGGAATCCACATTTCAGACAAAATTTTTATCTGAATTGTTAATTTGAGAGATAATTCATGACACTTTGCAGTTTTGAAATGTGATAAATGTTCTTGATGCTGAAACTTGAAAATAATTTTTATTGCCTCTGAATAAATTCAAAAGGAATGAGTATTCTTTCTCTAAAACTTTTATGGTTGCACTCAAGAGATTCCAGTATAGCTGGAGAGGAAAGTCCACCAGATCAGATGCTAAGAAACAGCATATATGAATCCAGCAACTTGTTACAGGATTAAACAAGTATGTAATTCATATAATTATAATGTATGAATTACATAAATATTCATCTATTTAGTTTGTTTTGTCATCTATATTTTTTATTAAAAATAAAATAAAATTCTGCACTGAGAAACAAATCTATGTATTTAACAAATATTGGAACAATGAAATCCTTGAAAAGAAGTAAGCGATGTGCTAGATTGAGAGAAAAGAAAGTTCAGTTCTGAACATCTGAGTCATTCAAATTCCTATCTCAGAGCTGTTTAGGAATGTTTGGGACACCCTGCTCAGAATACCTCCAATTTTAAACATATTGGTTTACTTCACGATGAAGCCTAGCAACTTAGTTGTTTCTGCAGCAACATAGGTAAACAGGTTGTAACAAAATAGGAATTATGGCTCTACTTGGGCGTGGGCTTTCCCCCAATTTTTTCTGGAATTGATAAATGAAAAATACATAAATAGTTAATTTGAGAAACAAAAAAAAAGAAAAGATAGCTGACCTTCTATTCTCAGTCGATAATATTTTTTGCAATAGAGAATTTAAAAATTTTCCAATTTGCAGTAGACCCAAATTATAGTGAAAATTGCAAAATTCTATTAGGGTGGCCCCAGTTTTGATGACTCCACTGTTGAAGTATAAATTGAGGTTTAGGAGAAAGTATGTTGTGGTCAGCCTACCCAAAATTTGCTTTGGATGTTAAGACTGATAACCCCACACAATGCCTGAGAGCATGAAAGGGGCATGGATCAGGCTCTCAAGCAGATCATTTTGCAAATGGCTTGAGAGAGAGGAAAGGAGACTGGCTTGGCTTTTATTGTGATTGAGAGTAGGGCTAAGGCGAGGAATTCCACCTGTGGGCTAGAACTCACATGGTTTGAACTTCTTGCCAGTGTTAAAGGAGGGAGCACCTGGGCTTTCTTACCAACCAGCCCAAACCTGGGGCAGGAGAGTGGAGTTTGAAAGTTTTCAAATGTCAAACATCAAAAACAGAATCAGGCTTTTTATTATAATTCACTCCTGATGTTTGACTGATGACGGAACTATGCCATGTTTCATTTAATTAAAATTTTACTTGCTAAGTATGCCATAATGGTGCTCTGTGAGGCCTGTAGCCTAAAACTGGTAAGAGTGGTGGAAGTTCCATTGATCACTTTGTTTAATAACCCAGCACTGTGTATTTTTAGAAGTGCTGGGTTATTAAACAAGGTGATCAATGGAAAATACAGTGGTCACTCTTAATATCTGCAACTCCAAAGTAGATAAAGTGAGACCTGTATTGTGGCTTTAATATGTAATTTTGGTTTTTATTTTGGGTATCTGTGAGATGAGATTCTCATAGTTATTTTCCCTTAAGAGAGAAACTTGGAAAGAAATTACTGTTACTACCATTGGTGGAACTAGACCGTGGCTAGTTCCATTGGAAATGGCCCAAGAGTCTGTAAAAATGCACAAATGGAGCCAATTGTTGGTCAGAGTGAAATGACTGCCTAAAGTTCAGCAATTTTGCTGATCCTTGGATCCATTATTTTTCAAGGACATCTGGATTAAGGAATGAGAAGCCGCAGCTCTCTAGTAGGCCCCATTACATGTAGTTTTGATGCTGTTCATAAAGTGCATACCATTGCTCTTTCAGCATTTGACTCTAAAGGGCTCCCCATGTAGTCAGAGGTCTGAGAGGAGTGACCTCCTCTAGCACTTTGTCAACTGGCAAGGGACTGAGGACAGATGTCCTTTGTGGTGGGATATTCTCGAGGACCCAAACTTAACTTTATCCTGTAGGCGACATTTCTGACTTTGTAAGGAGGCCCTGGTGGCTATGGCTGAACTTGTAGAGTGCTGCTTCGTGACCCACAGAAGGATACGGTGCTTCAGAGGCTTAGGACTTTTGGGAACCTCTGTTTCCTGGAGAGCCCTTTATGTAGTCAGAAGTTGCCATGGTAATAGTGGATAGCATGGGACTGAGGAGAGCAGTTTCTCACACCAGAAATCTGTGGGTGACTTATCATCATGGGAGGCCAGGGATTTCAGGAGATATGAGAGGAGGTTGTTTAAAGCCTCTACAGTGAATGATTCT